ATGCTTGTAAATCGTATTATAAATCGTTATAATAGTACAGGTAGCGTCGCCAATGCTCCAAGAGTATGGTGATGGATGAAATAAAATCCACTACCATAATGATTTGGAAAGTGCAGGCTCGACTTGAATGAAATCCACGTCGTAGTGATAATCAAATGGGCAAAGAACTGAAAATATCCCAAAAAAAACATCTAATGCATATTGCAAAATATGCTCAATATAAAGACTTACAAAATCCAAAAGGCACTAGGTCTTTCACCAAAAATTAGAATCGAAAGAGCAAAGGCGTTATTACGCTTGCACGAACGTACGAATTTCCAAACATTGTGTTCTCTGATGAGACAAATTTTCCCATTGAACAGTTCATAAACTCTCAAAATCTTTTGTGATCGTGTTTACTTAACTGAACGCACTACCGAAAATTTGAGACTATGAATGGTCATCCGAATCAATTTGCCATCCTAAGTAATGGTATGGGCAACTGTAACCGCCGATGGAGGCTCTTCAATTGTTTTCATCGAGATTGCTGCCTGGTATCAAAGTCAATGCGATTTATTATCGAGAAAATGTTTTGGAAGTTGCTTTAGGGACGAGCCGTGGGCACGCAAACATTTCGGTCGTAGACTACGGACATTCTAACAAGACTCGGCATTGATCTCGATCTCATTCGAATTCACTAGATCTTAGCCATTTTGGAGAGCAAGGTGAGGTGAGATGAGTAAAAAATATGCCAATATGGATGCGCTGTCGTTTTCAAAGTGTCAAGAGTTTAAGAACGAACACGATCATATGCATAACAAAAACTTGCAGTGTTGATAATATAGTGATAGGTTTATCGCTATATTTGAAAATATTCAATTTCTCACATAAAACCTAATTTTGCATTAGGATATTAGAAGCTTTGACGCCAAGTTCAAGCAATGAGTAAGACTATAATACATGGAATGTGTTTGTAAGAAGATCCCGAAGATATATCTTCAACTAATATAGAAAAAAGGTGGCATCTAAATAAGAAATGCACGCATCACAAAAACACTTACAATGTAGAAATAACCAAATTATAATAAAAGGGATAATTTTACAAAAAAATAAGACCCTGAGGGTAATGCAACTCCAGAACTGTAGACGATCTACAGTCGGAGAAACAGATTTTCGCGTAAACCTTAACCTAAATCTAAGTTGATAGTTTAGTTCATAGTTGCTGCAATAATTTTTATTTTATTATAATTATTATAATAATAATTATATAATTATAATTATTTTAATTTTTAATTTATTATTTTTTATTACAACAATTATTATTTCATTTATCAATTTTATATTGTTATTATAATATTTATTATTTGATATATAAATTAATAATTTTTGTTATAATAATTATTATTTAAATCATTAATTTATTTAATAATTATTGTTTTAATTATTAATTTATTTAATAATTATTGTTTTAACTCCTCATTAATTATTTTATAATAATAATTATTGTTTTAATAATTAATGCGCTTTTTTTATTATAATAATTATTATTGTAATTATTATTTCAGTTTTTTATTATAATAATTATTTTTTATTTTTCTTATAATAATTATTATTTTAATTTTTGATTTATTTAAAAATTTTTATTTTAAATATTAAATAATTATTTTATTGAAATATTTTTTTGTTTACATTTTTATTTAATTATTTTCTTATAATAATTATTATTTTATTTATTAGTTCACTTTTTTAACATAATAATTATTATTTTAATTGTAATTTTATTATATTATTATTTTAATTGTCCTTTTATTATATTATTATTTCAATTATCAATAACAACATTTGTTATAATAATATTTATTCTTTGAAATATTAATTAATTATTTTGTTTATAATAATTATTATTTTAATTATTAATTTTTTTTTGCTATAATAATAATTAATTCAACTATTAATTTAATATTTTTATTATAACTATTTTTTCAACTATTATTATAATATCCAAAATAAATAATTTTAAAATTAATTTATTTTTTTATAATTATTAAAGTTTTTATATTATTTTATATAATTTTATATATTAATAATAAATTTATTTAATAATTATATAACATTAAATAACATAACTAATTTTTTAATGTCCGATAATTGCTTCGGAAATTCACTGAATGCGGGTGCACTTGCACCCCACATTTGAGTGACCGCAACTCTCAATAACAACAACAATAACACGGCTTGTGAGCTTTTACCGGCATTTTTGTTTGTTTATATTTTGTTAAATTTTGTGTAGAACGCAAACAGAAAAAAGACAGTCGAAAATTAAACGAGCAGAGCGCAGTAAATTGTTTTTTTTAATCACATAATAAATTCGTAAATCTTACATTTTATTTAAAAAATAAATTAAAGAATAATTTTTCTATGAACTCACCTAATAAACGCATCACCTCGTCCGGATTTAAATACAAGTTAAGATGAGCCTGACAATTACCCACAAAGGCCAGCATAAATATAAAACCTAATGTCATTGCTAATGCTTTACTCTCACTGAGTGCTGGCAACGCAGCTGCTGTCGTCGTTGGATGTGTCAACGCAGACGTCGACTTCTTTTTTACACAATTCGTAAGCATTTTGCCTAGCCGAAAAACAAAATCAAAACAAAAACCGTAACAGCGACAGGCAGCGCAGCAGCAGCAATAACGTCGACAGCGCCGTTTAAAGTACAAACAGTAGGAAGTAGCAACAACACAAAAAGTATTAAAGTATAACAATAACAACAACAATTACACAGTTGTGGAAGCTTTCAGTTGCTTTCAGTACAGCAGCAGCGGAGATATGTTAATATATTTTTTTTATAAATAATTTTTCTTTTTGATTTTGTGATTAAATTTACTCCATTTATATGCGCTCAATTGTAAACAAATTTAACTACATAAACAAATGAAATAAAACACAATAGATAACAATAACAATTTTAACACTTTTATTTAGTATTTTTGCTTAATTTTTTATTATTGTTTTATACATTTTAATTTCCTACATTTTTCACGGCTGCACTGAGGCAAAAACTTGTAAACAAAAACTTTTTTATACGCTTTGTCTGGTTGGGAAACATTAAATTACGTTATTTTAAACACTTTGCAAATGATTAAAAAATTATTTATAATATAAATTAAATATTTTACTAAAAATTTAATAAATTATTTTCTATTGAAGCTATAATTTTTATCGGAATTTTGTTCGCAATTGCCGAAATGTCAAAATAAATTCTGCGTTGTGTACAAGCGCAGTACACCTACCACGCGTGGAATATCGGTATGAACTAAAATTTTTTTCTGACAGTTCAGTTTTTTTCTCTTTCTTTTCAATGACATTTGGTATTGTTGTCAGTATTATTAGGTGCGCTGCCTACAGAAAGGGCATACATGTATGGTATGCTCACACCGCGCCACCGTGCGTTAAAAACAAATAAGTATGCAGTGATAAGGCAAAGATCGTATAAAAATTAAGATTTGTTGTAATAAATTTACGATATGTGTTTGTATAACAGTTTTAAACTAACAACTAACAATATTCATGTAAGATCGTATCAACCAAACTTTAGTATTAACGGTCTTTAAAATATTAACGAAAATACGATCTTTGTGAAAAAGATTCTTAAAAATATTAAAGAGAACTCAAAATTAAAAATTATTTGAATTATGTTTAAAAAGAATTAAAAACCTAAAATAAAAATTTCGCAACAGAATTTCATTTCTCTGAATAAGTAGCCAGGGCTTATTTACCAGATATCATGGCATATAAGTTGATTTAATCAGGATGATCTTTAGCAAAGCAAGATGGCGGGTCTATCATTCCGTTTTACTCTAGAGGAAGTTGTTGTATTAGCAAGACTTGTATTGGTGGGACCTGCGTTGATCCCCCGTTGCTGATGCAGTAGATTAGCCTTGCACCTTATACTGGTGTAATAAATCTGCTTGCTCAATGTACCTTCTGACGAGATCAATTTTTTCGAACTCTGCATTTTCTTAGCAAACATTGCTATGCGATTCCAGTTTGTTTTGTATTCGATCGTTTTTTTTATCATCGTCTTTGGGAAGAAAAAAACAACTTGCACTGCCAGCACTTCTCGTTCAAGTAGTCACTTATTGCACTCAAAGAATGCAGAATCATTCTCAGCTGAGCTATATATGTAATTTGCACACGCGGTAAAGGAAGCTGTTTAAATATCCAGATAGGAACTGAGTGAGTGAGTGAGTAGTAAATTTCGCCGAAGTCCCTTGTTAGATCTTGTTAGGTTCATTGTCCGCAGTTACTAAGGTCGTGTGCGAGTTAGGCTAAGTTGCGTTCTAAATGAGGGAAATTCTAAGTTGTGCCGATAATGTAGTGATGTGTCGATACGTGTTGATAAATGGCTAAATGTGTGCAGTGCAAAAAATCCCAAAAAATCTCCCATTTGGTTTAGCATCAACTTAGCCTAACTCGCACACGTCCTAAATCTCAACGTTGCTGCCATACTACTGGGGTATAGTGCCTTATCGACTGTTTTGCGATATTCGTTGTTAAGCAATTGTCTTCGGGTATTAAGTTGGGTATTAAGCATATTTACGCACTCTTCGAGTATTCTAAGTTCTATTAGTCTCACTTTTTCAGCACTTTGACTGAAAATTGTTTAACTGGGTTACTCTTTTCTAACTGGTAACAGCTATTTGGCAACTTGAATAATGTTATCTTATTACCTTATTTCGAATCGGAGTTGATTAAAGCATCCATGTGAACTTAGTAGTTAAGTTGACCTCTTCGTATTCATCAACGGTATTTTGCGCTTCCTTGAGAACAGCTGTACTTTTGCTAATGATATTTCATTACATTCGGAACGCTTTCAGAAATTTTGATCAAATTGTTCGTTCTAAGCAATCCATTTGAGCAGAAACCTGTTAAGCAATCCATAAATTAAGTTTAAGCAATCCATAATTGATTTTCTAGCTTTTTTATTTTATTTCAATTTCAAATAAAATTTTTTTTATAAATAAAAATTATTGGTATTCTGCATTTTCAAAACCGTAACAATTTGAAGTGATCGCCTTTTGATCGTAGTCTCGCATTGCTTATCCGAGAGAAAGTATGAGGTTCACAGATTAAGATTGGTCGTATTGCATTTAGAGAAGTAATTCCGTTTTGTACTCAAGGAGTAAAAATTAGTGTTACTGTTACTCACTGTGCTTAAAGACTTTATTAATACCGAGTTTTGTGTAATACAGACTTCCACTGAAGAAGGAATAGGGAACACCTAAGGAACATGTAAGTTTCTTTTCATTTATGTTATAAAATCTTTTTGTATTCATTTATTTTATTAACCCTTTATGAATTATTTTTTCCTTTAAAATTACCTAGGAGAGCATGCGGTCTAAACATGTTTCCTAGACCATATGCTGTTTGGGAATTAAGGTAAAGATATCATTCAGTGTATGTCTCTTTACACACGATTTAGTGGAGATTTTTAAACGAACTCCCATTAAAAAATATAAAGACTATATTTTTTTTACATATAGTTTATATGAAGTGAAAAAATAAAATATATATTATATTCATCTCATCTTCATATTCACTCTCATCTTTTCCACCAATTTTTCGGTAATTATTGTTCCAATCTGGGCTATTATTTTTTCTCTAAATGTGAGCCACACATTACAGTAAAAGAAGGTGTGCTCTGCGTCGTCACAGTCTCCGTCCCCATAAATACAGTCGGGTAGATCCGCATTTCCCATGCAGTACAGGTATTTACAAGAATGCATATGTACGGTCAGCATTTAAGTGAGATAGTAATTTGTGTCTCCCAATGTCCGTTTGACCCAGGTGATTATATATGTAGTATCAATCTAGCTGTCCATCTTCCTTGAGTGCTATTGTTCCATATTTGTTGCCACATTTCGATGGTTTACTCCTGATATTCTCTTGCCATTCGTTGAGTATAGTAACCTGTTATTTTTCTGTTGTATACACTTTGGCGCTCCATTTGCTTGAAGATCAATTGGAATTACACCTGCTATTACAAAAACTACTTCCGCTGAGACAGTGCAATAAATTTACGCCATACATAGAGCTTCTATGCATCGCTATTATTTCTTGTAGATTTGTGATACTTCATTTCCAAGTGATAATCAACGACCTATGATTATCATTTAGGTCGTTAACCATAGGTCGATGATTATCGACTTATGATAATCCTGTTAATGTTCATTTTATATTTCATCGATGGATTGATCTATTTTCAATTTAAGTTCAACGCATTCAAGAGAAAGTTTTTTATGCAGGCGCACAATTATGTCTCCACCTTTTTGGGAGATCTTCAATTATGGAACGATCTATTTTTAATAAAATAAAATTATGTCTCCATGTCCGTGAGAGATTTTCGATGATGGGTCGATCCATTTTCATTTCGAATAAAACAAACTCAAAACAAAGTCTTATCTGTACACATTCGACCTAAAGCTATGGCTCCCTGTTATAGAATATTTTTAATGTGGGTTCGATCTATTTTTTTTTTCAACTGAATTAAAACATTTTCAAAAGAAAGTTTTATCTGTTCGAACACCTCTGCTGGAATATATATCTTTAAGTAAAATAATACTCACCTCTTACCTCTCCCCACAAACAATTAGAAAAGTGCATCACTCTATCTAATGGAATATACAATTTGATTTTTGTTTTTGTAATTGAAGTAACCGGTCAGTTTTCAGTTTATTAATATTTTTATAAAGATAATTTAAAAATAAAATATTTCATTAAGGATTATTTTTAAAATACATATCTGTGTCTGTTGTATATCTAGTATAAAAATTCTTAAGAACTATATTCTAATTGATAGTCTTCATATAAGATCAACTCCAAAATCTCTGAAAAAATGTAAGTATTTCTTTTTAAATATTTAAAGCTGAAAAGTTATAAATATAAATAAAAATTTTCTCAAATAATTTTTCCAATCGTGACTAATATTTTTTTGCTAAGTCACCCTACTTTAATGGTTACTAATCCATTAAAGGGAAGAACAAGTCCGCATTTTTATTCTCTTTCAAATATCATAAACTAATTCTGGGAGAGAAGCTTCAATAGTATTATAGGCTGGAGCAAATAATGAGTTGATAAGACTCTTGGTTTTTCATCTCAGTAAATGCTGTTTGCATTATATCATGAGTTCAATGTATATCTAGCACCCTTCAACGTTATTTCCAATCCGATCTTTGACTTCAACTAGACCTTTGTTTTTAACAGCTAGCATTTAAATATATTTGTAATTGACTTTTAATATTGACAATCGCTTTAGAGTTTTTTAAGTAAATACATATAGTAAAATATATCTTCGGACGAATATGTGATTCCTGACTGGACTCATATGGGTTTCATATGATGACGACTTAAAGCATATCATCAATTTTCATACATTCACTAAAGTTTTCTATTTTTTTTTGTCACTAACGTTCAATCGATATCTACATGCTCACTTAAGACATACCTATTTGTTAATTAGATGTTATGGCATTGAAAACTTCTTATATATGCACTTAAGTCTATGGACTATGATGCAAAACGCTCATTTTTGTCTTCTCCATCCAACTTTTCGGTACCTACAGTAATCTCGATTCATCTCTTCTCTTCAATATATTGGGACTAGAACAATCGGTAAGCAAATAATTTTGGAGTTCGCAACTCGTATGAAAAATCAACTTCCAAGCTAGATAGCTTTCTATAAATTTCATTTAGACCATTTTAACCGATTCCAATAAAAATTTTGGATTTTTCAAAATATGTTGCAAAAAAATCTGTGTTCTGTACACTCTCCTGTGCACACCTTTATGATAAGCCGAAGAACTAAAATTCTAACTGAGAGATAATTTGAATTAAATCAATTTTTTTCCCAGTGCTTTTTATATATTTTAATATTTAAGATTTCATTCTATCACTCTTTCAGAAACAAATTCATCAGAAAATTTTGGCAATATTAAAAAAAATTCTACATACTCTTCGGCACTAAACCCAATAAAATGTTTTACAACTTAGATAGTTCATCTGCGGGATCTATATCTTCAGCTGAACCAAGTAAATCCAGCAGTTCTTTTTCTAATCATTCCTTCCGCCTTAGAAAGAAAAAAGTTGAGGATGAACACGATAATAAGGAGGTTAAAATGTTTTACAACTTAGATAGTTCATCTATAGGATCTATATCTTCAGCTGAACCAAGTAAATCCAGCAGTTCTTTTTCTAATCATTCATTCCGCCTTAGAAAGAAAAAAGTTGAGGAAGAATACGATAATAAGGAGGAATTCGAATATTATGAGGAGAGAAGTTTACGGGAAATGGGTTATATTCCAAAATTCGAACGTGAATGGGGTGTACTTCCACAAAAGAACAAATCATTGTTACCTTGGAACCTAAAGCATATATTAAAGAAACGTGTGAATGCGAATTATACAATATTAGTTGGTGATGAAGATATTACTTTACACTTGATTCCTTTTCAAGTTCATTCCACAGTTTTCAGAAGAACAAAACACGAAAGATGCATTCGTTTACATAGTAAGTACCTTTCAGTGCACACCATAACGAAAATGTATAGATGGATGATCAAACCCAATGCTGTGATACAGCGGCAGAATGTGATGGAATTGCTCAAAGGTAGCATTGTATTGAAGATGAAGGAGTTGTATACACACATATGTGCCTACATCTGCTCGAATGAGTTGTTCGTAGAGGAATCAGCCTTTTTACTTTTCACTGAGGCGCGCCCACTTAATTTGCCAAATATTGAAATGATGCTATTAAATCGTATAAGTAAATTCTTTCTGATACTTGTATCTTCAAATGATTTCGATATACTGACAGCATACGAGTTAACAATATTATTGCAATCTCAGTATGTGTCCGTTAATACAGAAATCGAAGTATTTCTGGCAGTGATTCATTGGGTTAACAAAGACTTCGAGCGACGAAAACAATATTTATTAGGTTTATTACAAGATGTGAAATTCGAACTTATTCCAGCTTGGTATGTGGTACAGTTTCGGAATGACAATGAATGTGGCGTAGTTGAAAGAATATTGGCAATACCGGGTGTTAGTGATTTCCTTAATGCCCACTTGACATTTGGAAATAATTTACTTTACTATCCCTTTGAGAAAATAGAGTATCCTGATGTTGATGGGCATCCCGAAATTGTCAAGCCACAACAACGTATTTGGATTTTTGATCGAAACTGCTCCTATCATCACGCTCTTTACTGTCAACACAAGAAATACTTCTCCTATACGGAATTCACAATGTATCTAGCAATACTCCAAATAATGCCTGTCAATTACTTCAAGGAGTTTGTGACTATAACTAGCGACCATATAATACATTGCTGTAATGTAATTAACCCGGAATTCGAAATGGGATATGACGACACCACGGTTGAGTGCAGCTCCAATGATGAGCATTCAGATACTGCTAGCGGCACAACTGATATTACGCTCTTTATGCCTTCTGCGCATAATCCTGAAGTGGAAAGATTTCGTGAGGCCCTCGCCCGCTTATAAACCTCAAAACCTAGATAAAGTACTAGAAAAAAAAATGTTTAAATCTTGGAAAAATTTTTTTTTTTTTTATTAAATATATTTGATTATTTCAAGAAAGATATGAAAGCTAAAATTTTATTGTTTCTCAAACATTTGTTTTGAATAAATCGAAAAATTTTCTTGAAATAACTTTTTTATTTAAACAAAAGTACGTACCGCCATGTGAAAAGCAAAACCTATTAAATGCATATTTTAGAAAAACATAAAACAATCAAATATCTTCAAATCTTTAAAGCTCACCATTGGCGATATAGCTTTACAACTTGCAAAGTGAGTATACTACAAGGTTAGTTGAAGTCTTATCTATTCAATCGATCATAATTTTTTTATGGATTCATTCCATTCATTCCAGCCCGATACTTGACTATGGCCTTAAAATGCAAGATTCACGAATGTAATCTTCTGGTATTTTGGCTCATTCCTGAACAATGGCTTTTGTGCAAATAGTTTCTGCTCAACTACCATAATTGAAGTCTATTATTTATATAAATGGAATCATCTCTGACATTGAAAGACAATAAATATACATGATTGAATTATAACTATTAATATGTAGACAATTCTATAGAACGGAACTCTGCACTGTATAATAGAGTCAGCAACTAATCTGTTCCCAATATAAAGAGGTTTATTTGAGGAAGAATCTATAGAACGACTGATCGCCAACTGTAATGTATTAGGTCACACAAGAAACAAAATTTTAGGTGCATACTAACTAAAAGACGAAGATCTTCAAAAGCTCCATCACTCGTTTCCTCTAAATACTACATCTCTAAATACAAAGAGATGTCAAGCTGGTCGTTGATCTCATAAAGGCCTTAGCCTAACATGTAAACCATTACCATTACCACTACCAAAGAGGTTTCTTGTTGCTTAATTTAAGCACTTACAGATTAAATATTCAGAAGTTTCAACAGTGATTCCACATTTAGTTTAAGTTAAGTTTAATACATAAACTCCTGGACGAACACATGACAAAGAGAACAATGGAAAGGTGGCGAAACTTAAACACCTGTAGACTAGCTAGGTTTATGTGTAGTCACATATACGAGAAAAAGTACACCGAGAATGTTATATCGTCTAACCGAAAGAACTGTAAAAGATTAATTGGTGTATTGACAGGTCACTTCCTGGTCGCATCACACACCTAATTCGCAGCGATGCTTGTAGGAAATGCTATGAGCCAGATATAAAGGAAACTCTAGAGCAACTGCTATGTAACTGCCCGGTTCTCTCGAGAACTCGACAAAAGTACTTGAGGGCTGTTAGTTTTACAAGACTGAAGCACATATCTGAGGTTTCTGTTGAAATCCTAATAAAATTGATACAAGTGATACACACTATCGCTAGAAATTAAGGCTGTGATCTGGTACCGCAATGGACCTTAATGGTATACGCGTGGCCTTTTTGGTCTGCCAGCATAACCATACCTAACCTACAGAAACGGCAGATATTGGTCACTAAGAAATCAATTTTATTGGGTTGATCTCTAAATCTACAGTGGCTAGTTGTTTTAACAGCGGTTATAGAGAAGCGCCAGTTTTTAGTCTCTAAGAAATCAATTTTGTTGAGATGATACGTAAATCTACAGCGCTCCGTCGGTGATCCAGTAAGATTTTTAATGTCTACTCTGTTTAAAGAAAGAAATTGTTTGGAGATTTAATGGGTTGAGTTTAAGAATTATTTGATTACTCATTATGGATAGTAAATATATGTGAAAGTTGTTTATTTCATTTAATAAATCCCGGTATTTTTCACAAATACAAAATCTTTTTATGAAAATTATTCAATTCATTGTGTTTAAAGGAATTTTTTAAATTTTTTCCATAATTTTTGTTATAATCCTTGCAACTATTCTTGCACATACAAAAGCGGTACGTTTAAGCTTTGATTAAATTTGTTGTAAAATATTTCATTTCCACATCCAGTGAGTACTTTCTGGTGCACTGAAGCTGTTAGTGGAATGGAATCCTTTCTTGTTCACGTCACAAACACTTGCAGTGCGATGCTTGCATCCACTCCAATTTCGTATTTTTTAATCCTTTTCTAATTAGTTTCCTATTATCCTTGCTGTTGTTCCAAACATGTTGCCTTGCATTTCATCGTGTCATTGCTCAGACATGTTGCTAACTACTGCTGTTCCGAACTCCTCTGATCTGCTCTGAGCTGAGCTAAATAAGAGTTCGTGATGGATTTGTGGTTAATAAATTTAAAAATATGTACTCTCATTTTTAATTTATTTCATTTATACTTAATTTAAATTCTTTTATTATAAATACTTAATCATCTTCTTTTCCATCAAAGTTGGGAAGTTGGGAATGGGAAATGGATTTTTACAAACGGATTTTTACCATTTTTTTGGTATGTGTAGAAAAAATTATATCAAAATTAATATTTAAATATTATTATTGCTTTTTTAAAAAAAGAAATTTAATATCAAATTCTTTTTTTCGCCTTAAGTTTCACTGACTCCCATTGTCTTCAATTAATTTTTACAAAATGTTAATGAAACTTACATAGAATTAATAATAAATTAATAATCAATTTCAGTCCATGAATCCCTATTAAGTCCTAGAAATGTAACATTTGTTACAATTCACAATTCACAATTCACTTGCACTTTGTTCGCTCATCCAATCATGTCAGACCTACTTAAGATCCCCAACACCACAAGTCACCCATTCTAGCACTTCAATTCATTCATTGTGGATATAGTCCAATGTGGGAAGATGTTTAAAAACAATAACAAAAAGTACAACAGCACTTGAAGAACAAAGACTACGATTGTCCTGTTTAAGGACATTCTGCAAATACTTTCGCTTTATATTCCTGGGCAATTGAAACGCTGTGGGTGGCTGTGCACTTCCGTCGCTCTTCTCACATTCTCGTCTGTGGTTCCCTTTACTCGCATAATTCATATGCAGCAACACGCGTTGCTCACCAACACGCCGCTGTGACACCACTTAAAAGATTATGGTATCCTTAAATGGCGCAAACACTTTTATTATGATTTCATATTTGTATATATAAAAAAATGTTCTCTCTCTTTTTTTATTCAAATTATTTTCATTCTATATAAATTATGAGCAAACAATATTGAAATCAAATACAGGGTGTTTACGCTTGTTAGTTGGTGACAACACACCATAATGCATTTTATAAGATATGAATACTATATCAAGTAACACATTCATATATACATATTTACATTTAGTAGTACTCGAAACAGCTGTACGATCAGCCAAAATTTAAATTAACTAAAAATAATAAAAACTTTTGTTGTTGTAATTCACTATTATTCGCTACAAAATCTCTCTATTGAAAACAATAGTTTATATCAAGAATTTAGGTTCCTTTCTAAATTGTGTAAATTAATTATTTATGTCAACAAGATCTCTGGAAGTTGTTTTCATAATCTTATGAAGGTGTGCGATGATAACATCAGGTCTATGGTAAACATATTTGGATTATCGTATATTCGATATGCATATTTCTTTACAATCTTAGTCGCTCTTCTTTGATTCTTTGGTCACGAAGCTCTTTTGCAATTAAACGGAGTGTTTTAATTATGAACGTTGCATTATTATTGGATTTACTTTAGTTCCCTATAACTTTAGTCCATAAACTTAGTTGGGTTTCAGAATACTATACAAACTTGTTCTTTATTGTCAGTTTAATATTTCAACTGGAGGACATTAAAAAGTTCTGTGGTTTGAAACCCATAAATTGTTTGTTGGAAATATGAGCTGTCCAGATTAATATACTATCCAAGTGATTACCTAAGTATGTTGTTTCTACAATGAAGGTGATGTGATGTGATGTGATAGTATATGTGATCTAAAACAAATTAAAATTCATTTGGTTTTATGGGTTAGCTTTTCATATCAACGTACGTCTGTAGTTTTGAAGCTGCTTCGTTGGATGAGTATCAATAGACTAATGTTATAATATTGATGACACTAATGTATCGGGCCCAAGGGCTCCCATCCACCTTCATTAAACCGAAAGTATTGCTGCATAGAATAGGTAAGGTATTGGTCCCATAATGCTACCCCAGCTTTTACAGTATAAAGTTGTATACTCTTGTTAATATGCTTAATCAAAAATTGTCTTGAGCAAAGAATTGTTTTTCGAAATATAACGAAGAAGACCTTCTTCAAAATATCTATAAATGATGTGCAGTATTTCATTTTATATAGCGGTTTATAAATATGTCTGATTAGTCTAAATTGTGTTTATTGACATGTTCAAAAATATAAATCCAAAAAATCCAGTACAATTTAGACGATAGAACAAAGAGGAGGATGTGTATGTAGTTTTAATAATATTAACTTATAATGGTGATCCTGTTGATGACTCTCAAGGAGAGTTTAATAAAAAATATTAAAAGTTTTATTATTCAACAAGAAGGGACCTACAGCCAATATAAAAATATATAAAAAAAAACCATTTTAAATCCAAAAACTTAGTCTAATCAAAAAAATTTCCAATTATTTTTATTACACGCTATAGCTTTTAATTCACTGAAAGATTTAAAAGACCACACAACCTTTCTGTGGTCTAGGCAAAGGAACACTCTCCATTCTTATTAACGGCTCAGAGGAAAAAGAAAGGGAACTCTATTGATAAAGACTGCCAAGCCTATCACAATCTAAAATGCTTTGAGGGAATCACAATCTAAAACGTTTTAGGGATTGCATAGAACTAACAAAAAATAATCAAAGAATTTTATTACGGAGTTACTAACCGCTCACTGTAGATTGAATAATCACCTAACAAAGTTAGGAATACAATTCAACCTAGACTGCAGATTCTATAAAGAAGAGAAAAGAACCGCATACCTAAGGGAGTATACGGCACTGATGCACAAGCGGAAGAAACACTTAGTAGGGAATTTCATGGAACATAGAAATCCAAGACTTGGAAAGATAGGTTCTATACTGTTTTTCATTAAAGAAATTGGAATTGGAGAAACTCTCTAATCTTTTAGGTCGCAGTGTATTATCGCTTTTACATAATAATTCAATTCAGAAGGATTACTGCGATAAA